TTTGTTTCCGCCTCCACCGGGGATCGAACCCGGAACCTCAGGGCTACAAATCCCAAGCGCTGTCCACTCAGCTGTCAGGCCCCTGATGGAGGATGGGATGGGGGGTAGCAGGGAGGGGGCTGTGTAAGAGAGGGAGGTAGCAGGGAGGGTCCAGTGGCGGGATGGGGGTAGCAGGGAGAGTGCGGTGTGTGCTGCCTGCTTACTGAATGACATTCGGAGATCTTTGTTCACTAAAAGAAGCCTCAGCAACTTGCAGTCAAAATTGACCTTGTCTGTCTACTCCAACCATGTAAATTTATGTTTATTGTGCAGAACTTTGAATTATGCTGGTTTTGGTTAAAAATGTTTTAAATATTAATTTCTGAACCTTCCTGGTAAGAATTCCTGCTAATCTGGATGCCCAGCTAACTTGTAGAGAGGTGGGCCCCCACATAATCTGGATTAGCAAGTGCTATTAGTACTCTGAAAACTTAACTTTGTACTGACCCCTTCTCTGCATTTGCTTTTTGTATAATCAATTATTTCCTGCAGTGATTTCTTCCAGAAACTCCATTTTCCATAACATTCTCCCTAAGAATATCCAGATTTTCTGATAGTTCCCTTTGCAGTATGCTAGTCTCCATCTTCAAATCCCTCGGGTTTCTTTGCTGGTTTTTACCGACGTGTATTGAAATGTAAGCATGCAGTGGTCCCTCATTTCCCAGGAAATTTCACATTCCATATCATCCACGTTTACCTTATTTTGCAGTCCATGTATGCTTCCCTTCCTAAGGGTTCATTCCTATGGCTGGAGTTGGAAGATTAGTAGTTTGGCTTCCATAGGTGGGTTTTTCTGCAGCTTCTATTTGTCTTGTCAAACTCTTGCTTGGTTCTTCTGTCATTTTCTAGAGGGTTATAGATAACCATCACCACCACATGTGCCGCGTTTTCTTTCATTTCTACGATGCAGTCCTGGTATACATTAGCAGATTCGATGGTCAGCTCTTTAACAATTACGAATCCTGTGATCTTAAAAGTAATTTTACTTGCTAATTATCTTTAATCAAGTTACAGTTACAACTGTATCTTTGTAACTCGGTAGAATGGCCAAAGTAGTAAGACGCAAGTGCCATTCTTACTTTCCTGCCATGTCATATTTTTGCTATCAGTGCGTGGTCTTGAGGGACAAGTCAGTTGGGATCGAAATTCAACTACTGTACACTGTTAAAAATAATTCATTGCTGAGAAAGAAGGGAGGAAAGGGGGGGGGGATTAAAATTCAGACGAGGGGTACAGCCCATTAATACCCCGAGTAATTCCAGGCCTGACTACCAGATTCCAATAGTACCCATGGGAATGGTACTGTATTTGAGGATCAAATAGGGATCTAACTTGAGCTTGCATAACCTAACAATATTAGAGGAGAAGACAAGAACAGACTTTGATCACAATGTACAAATACCGAGAAGAAGAGACAAGGTGAACAAGGACAACCTGTTCTTACAGAGACAACAAAATAAGAGGATATAGGTGGATGTTAGAAATATAAGTGATCCAAAGAAACAAGAAATCCCTTGTTTGCTCTACTGGTGGTCAACGAGTGAATAGCACTGACAAAATTGCCACCGACACTATGGACTGAGAAGACACCTTCGTCCATAGTGTCCAAAACAAATGACAATGCCAAGACATTTAACAGCAGCAAATACTAACAAATATTGGGCAGGGCCCGAAGACCCAGATCTTTTTCCCTGTTGACACTTGTGCAAATACGGTAAATGAATAACAAACGCACGCAGTGCATTCCCAGTTCATGCCACATGTCCTTTAACTATGAAATTTGACACCAATATATTTAAGAACATAATTATCCCCATGGCAACCGTTAACAATTTTAAAATGGCACTTGAATACTCTAATGAACTGTCAAAGTCATGCAATTTCTGAATTATTTTCAATGGAATACTGTCCCTTAAACTTCCTTAAAGATCCAATTCATGTAATAAATTTAAAACATTTAAAAATATAAAATTACATATTACAGTTAGGAGTCAACCACTAACATATGAAACCAATCATGAACTCTGCTTAATTATAGTTAAATTATTAGTTGAATGTATGGATGGATGATGACTTTTGGCTTGAGGTTATGTGCCATTCACTGGTAAACTATTATACAAGTACTGTACTGTATAATGGTTTTAGTAATTTTTGTTATTTCACAAACACCGAATTGATTTTATTGATATAAATTTATACCTAGTTACTTTAAACTTTTGTATACATAATGTTATTCATTATATTTGGCAAATCTTAAATTATACTTGGTTCATTCATCTTGCTGATAATTTTCTTTCAATGTTTATATTTTAACAAAATTTGTAGATGGCAGCACCAAACCAATCACAGGAATCTTCTGGAAAATCCCATTGCAACTATGCATGCAAAGGTATCTGAAAGGAAATATTTTATTGATAAATATCCTCAAAATACATGAAAATGTATGTTCTCGATGAAACTGTAAACCATATTAATGAAACCTTAAAAGCTATACCATTTTAGAAATGATGCTGGAAAGTTGCTCTTCTCAGAAAAAAATCCAGTGTGGAATGTAATGAAATGCCATTTTTCTGGGCGAGCCCCGGAGGCTCCCTGAAGCTATCCGAACTGATATGCGCTATATTACTGTAGAAGTTTGCTAATCTGAAGCCCACCGATCCAGAAAACGGCCTAATGCAGCAAAAATCATGGCTGGATAAAGTTATATCCCTATCCGGACAATGTCCATAGAATCCGGACTACCAAATATTTGTCCAGATCAGCGTATACCGAGAGTTGAAATCGGATCCGGTTAACTTCCTACCGATGTTACCCGATCAGGACAGTAAGCTGGACAACCAGAGATTTTCAGGATCAGAAAGTCAGGCATCAGGTCGTACCGTATTAATCCCGTATGGCTGGGAGTTGGGAGGGGGACTGTCTGGGGGACAAAAGGGCCATGTGGAGGGACCTATAATTATCAATAATTTTAGAACAATTCATCACAGTCAAAAACAAAGCAAAACTATAATACTTGTACTGCATTATAACAAATACAAGTTTCTTAAAAACAATTTGCACAAACTGAAGTGTGCTCTTAAAATACTGGGTGTGTTTTTCCTGCCTGGCTGCCTACATAACGTGCCAGCCTGCCCCAAGTGGACCCATCCAGGCCTGGTCAAGCTAAGCAGCCCATGTGCTGTTTAGTACCAGTACCCGAGGTGAACCAGAGCACTGACCATAAAAGAGGCCAATAAGAATAAGCAGCAAGCTGAACTTATTCTTATTTTGTAAAAACAGCAAGCCAAGAGCCATCAACCAGTGAGGCTTCACAGGCAAGCCAAGAGCCTCCAACCAGTGAGGCCTCACAGGCAAGCCAAGAGCCATCAACCAGTGAGGCCTCACAGGCAAGCCAAGAGCCATCAACCAGTGAGGCCTCACAGGCAAGCCAAGAGCCATCAACCAGTGAGGCCTCACAGGCAAGCCAAGAGCCATCAACCAGTGAGGCCTCACAGGCAAGCCAAGAGCCATCAACCAGTGAGGCCTCACAGGCAAGCCAAGAGCCATCAACCAGTGAGGCCTCACAGGCAAGCCAAGAGCCATCAACCAGTGAGGCCTCACAGGCAAGCCAAGAGCCATCAACCAGTGAGGCCTCACAGGCAAGCCAAGAGCCATCAACCAGTGAGGCCTCACAGGCAAGCCAAGAGCCATCAACCAGTGAGGCCTCACAGGCAAGCCAAGAGCCATCAACCAGTGAGGCCTCACAGGCAAGCCAAGAGCCATCAACCAGTGAGGCTTCAGCAGTTAGCAATCAAAACCGACTTTGATTGCAATCTACTTGAGAATGGTCCAGGACAGACCGAAACGTCGTCGTCCCTTCTCCTTCTAGTGTGTGGTCTGGTCAACAAAACTGACTTTGCCTCATGTACTGTACAGTAATTCCAAGTGTTAATTTTAGTATTGCGTTAGAATAGGTTACGTAACTTGTCAAAAATTCTTAACTTCAATATGTGTAGCACCAATCAAGAAGACGAACTACAGCAAGGCAAGTTGAGGTTTCTGGTTGAAATTAATGCCAGTACTGTACAGTACAGTTATCTTGAGATTCTTGAGGTTATCTCGATGATTTTGGGGCTTTTTAGTGTCCCCGCGGCCCGGTCCTCGACCAGGCCTCCACCCCCAGTAAGCAGCCCGTGACAGCTGACTAACACCCAGGTACCTATTTTACTGCTAGGTAACAGGGGCATACGGTGAAAGAAACTCTGCCCATTGTTTCTCGTTGTATATATACAATGACAGTATATATACAATGTGCACAGTTAAGGGGTTAAAGTAATGTACACCTGGAAAAGATCAAGGCAAATGGAGGATCTTCAACAAGCCGCCAGCTACCCATTCTCCTCGAGGCCAATAGTGTTGGTGGCTCTCTGGTAAACTCGGGTAGTAGTATGGCACTTAATCAGTGTGATAGCTTCAGGGAGCTGACTGGACTCCCCCCAGAAAAGGTAATATTTATATTAAGAAAAGGGAGCTGGAAAAAACTTCAAAGTGGTAGACATGGTAAAAAAAAAGGGACACCATGAATGTAACTTTCCCTGTTACTGCACTTAAGCTATTAGTGTACTAAAACATCCTGCAGTCCCTATGGTGCAGTGGTAAGACACTTGCTCCACGCTTCGCGAGTGATTTGGCCTGGGTTTGTATCCTGGCCGGAGAGGAGTGACTAGGGCCCCAATCCTTAACTGTATGCCCAGCAGTGAATGGGTACCTGGTTGTTAAATGATTTAGAGGGTCATATTCCAGGGAAAGTTAAGATTAAGGACCTGCCCAAAATGCTCCCAAAATGCTATGCATTTACAAGAATGCAAGAACCCTTTTATATATATATATACCGTGTATATAAAAAAAAAAATACATTTACACAAACAAAACTCAGAATGTCTAAGAAAGTACATTACAAGAACTTTTGTCACATGACTTACTTTGTCAGCAGCCTTTTCAGTCTTATTCCTGGAGTTGAAATGCTTTCCACAAACAAAATAAAACAGGAGGACAAGCATCATGACACAGAGGAGACATGTTGTATACAGGATATGCACTTGAATAAGGGTTACATCACCCTGAAACATAAATTACAAGTGTCCTGTTATTTTGTTATACACATATACAAGTAATGCATCTGAGAGAAAAAATATGAGGTACAGTGTTCTCATCACACTGAAGATATAGTCAATTTGTTTTTGTTTTTTACAAAAAAAAAAAAAAAAAAAAAAACGAGCCCTGGAAGCTCCCTGGAGTTATCCATCTAATATGCGATATATTAGACTTGGGTATTAGTCAATGGAGTTCAGCCTACCGGGGACCACGAGCCAGAACCTGGCCCCCTCAGAGAGGCGCACAGAGCAATGGCCCCTGAAAAAAAAAAACTGTAGTTGGGGGTTTTCCTAATCTGCCATCGACCTGGGTTAGGCTCTCAAAGGTAGGCGAACTGTTATACATGTAGTCACCTAGTTGTAATCACCTAGTTGTAATCACCTAGTTGTGTTTGCGGGGTTGAACTCTGCTCTTTCGGCCCGCCTCTCAACTGTCAATCAACGGTTACTAACTACTATTTTCTTTTTTCCCCTACACACACACACACACACCCCCACCAGGAAGCAGCCCATGACAGCTGACTAACTCCCAGGTACCTATTTACTGCTAGGTAACAGGCACATCAGGGTGAAAGAAACTCTGCCCATTGTTTCTCGCCGGCGCCGGGAATCGAACCCGGGATCACAGGATCACTCGTCCAGCGTGCTGTCCAGTCAGCTACCGGCGCCCATGTATAATATAATGTATATATTATATGTATAACAGTTCCTTGGAACATTATGAACATTCTACTGTATACATATTGTAATGGAAACAAATGTGCATCATATATAAAAAAAAAAAAAAAAAAAAAAAAAAAAAAAAAAAAAAAAAAAAAAAAAAAAAAAAAAAATATATATATATATATATATATATATATATATTATTAAATATGACCGAAAAAGTAAGATTAATAATTCTAACACGAATTTTCTCAATCTTTCGTACATTACGCTTCACTGTTGGAGGTAAATCAAAAATCACTTCTCCAAAATTCATTTTTATTTCTAGTCTGACGCGACACGGGCGCGTTTCGTAAAACTTATTACATTTTCAAAGACTTCACAAATACACAACTGATTAGAACGTATCTCTGATTTTATATCTACATTTGAGTGAGGTGGGAGGGGTGATGTGGCATTAACACAAGACAGAACAAGAGGGGATATTAATAGGGTATTAAAAGTATCAACACAAGACAGAACAGAAACAATGGGTATTGAATAGAAGTGTTTGTAGAAAGCCTATTGGTCCATATTTCTTGATGCTTCTATATTGGAGCGGAGTCTTGAGGTGGGTAGAATATAGTTGTGCAATAATTGGCTGTTGATTGCTGGTGTTGACTTCTTGATGTGTAGTGCCTCGCAAACGTCAAGCCGCCTGCTATCGCTGTATCTATCGATGATTTCTGTGTTGTAAACCAGAAAACCGGCCAGCCTACTCATGAGAAACTCTCCAGACACAAAACAGAACGCTTTAAAAGAGACTAATGTCGTCTATGCCTTCAAATGCCCACTTGGGGACTGTAAGCTCCAAAAAACCCAGTATATAGGCAAGACAACAACATCTCTTTCTAGGCGTTTAACGATGCATAAGCAACAGGGCTCCATTAAGGAACATATAATCTCTTCCCATAACCAAACCATCGCCAGAGAAATCCTAGTAAACAACACAGAAATCATCGATAGATACAGCGATTGCAGGCGGCTTGACGTTTGCGAGGCACTACACATCAAGAAGTCAACACCAGCAATCAACAGCCAATTATTGCACAACTATATTCTACCCACCTCAAGACTCCGCTCCAATATAGAAGCATCAAGAAATATGGACCAATAGGCTTTCTACAAACACTTCTATTCAATACCCATTGTTTCTGTTCTGTCTTGTGTTGATACTTTTAATACCCTATTAATATCCCCTCTTGTTCTGTCTTGTGTTAATGCCACATCACCCCTCCCACCTCACTCAAATGTAGATATAAAATCAGAGATACGTTCTAATCAGTTGTGTATTTGTGAAGTCTTGGAAAATGTAATAAGTTTTACGAAACGCGCCCGTGTCGCGTCAGACTAGAAATAAAAATGAATTTTGGAGAAGTGATTTTTGATTTACCTCCAACAGTGAAGCGTAATGTACGAAAGATTGAGAAAATTCGTGTTAGAATTATTAATCTTACTTTTTCGGTCATATTTAATAATATATGTCTACAGGAAAGACTGCTACCAAAATATACTATTTTATATATATATATATATATATATATATATATATATATATATATATATATATATATATATATATATATATATATATATATATATATATATATATATATATATATATATATATAAAAAGCATTGAAAATACAGTACATAGAAAAATAAATGTAAATATATTTGTGGCAATTTGCGAGTCTTGAATGGCCCACGTGACCGCCTCTGGGAGCTTCATCACGGGCGAACAGCCCGTGATGATGTCACACATCACTTTCTCCATGTCCCCACAGACAAAGTAAGTGGAATTTGGAATTTAATATTATACAAAGAATTTTTTTTTTCCCAAACACTTTTTTTTTGGCGAAACACCAGAATGTCGCAAAAAAAATGTGACGCATCACAGAGGTTAATGTCTATTGTAGGAAAAATTGCAACTGTATAATAACTAATTGCAAAAAGATGCTCATTTGCATCTTTACAACCATAGATGAAATAAAAAGCTCAAGTACACGAGTTCAAGTACATTAATGTTCGAGACCATTACTGTAACTAATGTACACTACTGTACATATATGCATTTAAAGCCTTTTCCAATTTGGAAAATAACAACACTAAAATCTTCTACTGATGGCTTGTATTAACAAGCAAACTCGAGCCATCTATCACTGACCACACTAAATCCCTCACATTCATACCGTACATAAAGTGTATGGTACTATACAGTAAACACTATAATATACGAAAATAAAAGCTTAAAATAATTCTGTACCTCTGATAAGTAGACATTGAGTTCATGCTGAGCAGTCACCATAAGATCAGCCTCCACACCTGCACTGCACCACTCTCCAGACTCTTTTACTAGCCATGGCTGACCCATCATCACTTCCACTGTATTAGTGTCCTGAAGAGAATGGATACATAGACAAATTTAATTTTAATTAATATAAACTTGCCCACATACTTTACTACTTTTATTAAAAAAAACAGAATGGGAAAATATTTTGTGGCATCAGCAGCATAAGCTTAGGATGCCCCAGCCTAAGTTAGAATTTTAGTTAGATAAAGCATTTTAGTTAGAAATTTTGAGTAATTCCATGAAAGACTTCCAAGCACATGATGAATACAGCAGACTCCTGAATTTGAAACAATTCTACTTGAGGTTTTAGTTATGTGTTTAACAGAACTACACATTTTCTCTTTTAGAGAATTAGTCAAGCAATTAGGCAAGCAATTACTCAAGAATTTTAGGCAAGCTTTAATTAGATTTTCAGTTAACATTTTATGCATTATTTAAATCATTAAAAGAACACCATTAACCCCTGTATTGCACACATCATGATATCATGGGAAAAGGGGGTGTGTGCACCAGCACATCACATTTGTTAGTACTGTACTGTACATTATAAGATTCAAAACTCCTGCAGGTACACGGGGCTCATACCTTGTTCCTCTAGACTCTCGTAAACAGATGTCATGAAAAAAAAATCATCTGCATCCCTCCCGGCTATGAGAGCCTCACTACTGCCAGAGCACCACTTAATAATCATGAATAAAATAGGTACTGTAACTACAACTATTTTGCGATGATTGCATCATAGATGATCCTGACTAATCAAAATTATGTACAAAGACCAGATAACAGGGAATGCAATGCTAGTTATGATGTCCACAGCAGGAGGTAGACATCCACAGCTCACAGCCAAGGTTTGCAAATTTACTCATCATGCAAAGTGACCTCGTGTCCCTTTTGAAGATAATCTTGAGAGAATTATTCATTCATGATTTAGTGACAGGAATCTGATAATAGCAGTGTTCCAAGTACCTATAATAATAGTGATACATGTAGTATATTTCTGGGTACTTTGCCCCATCAGGTGACATCTGTTGCTCGAGTCAGCTGGTTGTAGCAAATAGCTTTAGGAGAAAATCCGTAAGAACCATGATGAGGGTTCGAACCTATGCAGTGACTGTTCCCACGCACACGCCCTAGTCAACTAGGCCACGACATGGTCAAAAGAATTGCAACCTGGAGTTCTACCGAGCTCACAAGGGTTTCCCCGAGGCTTCCACTAAATCCGGACCAGGATTTTCACACATTCCCCCCAAATTTTCTCATTAACACATCACGTTAGTGTGATTATTCTCTGTGTATATAGTGTTATACTGTGGCATAATTTTATTACCCCACACACACACCAGAATTACTTAGTAATTCGATATACAGTAGTTTATAAAAAAAAAAAAAAAAAAAAGTGTTGAATGTAATAAAACGGCAATGTCTGAGCGAGACCAGGAGGCTCCCCAGAGATATCCAGGCTGATATGGATATACTGTATTAGCTTTCTGGCACCAGTCAATGTGCAGAGAGTTCTTGCCTACCGGGGACCATGAGCCAGAACCTGGCCCCCTCAGAGGTGTGAGGAGTAATGACCCATGGAAACCAATGTGTGGTTGGAAACATTTTATGCCTGCCATCGACAGGGTCTAGCACCCAGAAAGGTAGGCGCCCAAAAACAAACTCCTATTCTGGTGAAAATATTGCTACCAAAAGCCGAACAAGTGGACAGAACTTCCCCAAACGAAAATTAGCAAACAAGGATGACGTCATCACATTACAACTATCATCCCCCCTGCACCGCTCTGTGCAACCCTGCCCCTCCCCGGGAGGGGGAAGCCCCAAACCCTCGCGCCAGCAATCCCCCTTCAGTTCTTAGGATGGATGTCAAAAGACAAAAATATTGCAGACTGGAGGGAGGGAGGGTGCTAGGGAGCCTCAGGGTCTCGCTCAGAAAATGGCGTTTCATTACATTTAACGCTGGTTTTCTGGGGGAAGGGGGGGGGACCCCATTAGCTCCTCCCCTTCCCCCTAACTACCTAAAGATAATGGAGAACAGGGACTTACCCGGGAGGCAGTCTGTTTTCGCTCATCAACTCTAAGCCGAGACAACTGGCTGCAACCACTGACCCAATGCAACGCAAGCCCTACGAAGTCCAGAACACTGACAAGGTAGCGAGAGACCAGAACCCTATTCAACCTCCAAAAACCCAGCGTCCGAATGTCAACCCAAGACATGCTGTCAAAGACAGCAGCCAAAGCAGCAAACTTAAGAACGTCGTTGGTATAATGATAGACCGCAGGTTGGCTAGACTTGATAACCCTGAGGATAACCTAAGAGACCCGCACTCTGGAACCGAGAAGAAGGGAAACCGGGTCAACCTAAAGAGCGTCCCTGGCCACCAAAGCCATGGCGCACAATTAACGGCGGAGAGCTGTAACCTGACAACACATGAGGCACCCCAGGCCAAACCAACCAAGCATCAACAGCCCAAGGATCCCTCCGGAAAGCAGCAGACTCATTCTTCACCAGAAAAGAGGGCGACAGCTGCAGATGAACAAACCTACCACGAGGGCCAAAAGAGCAGAAACCCCTGCGCCGGAGGAGAGAATGAAGCTCCCTGACCCGACCCCCCAGATGCCAATGCCAACAGGGGAAAAAAAAAAAAAAAAAAAAAAAAAAAAAAAAAAAGCCTTAGAGAAACAATCTTGAACCAAAGGGGCCACTACAAACCGAGGAAAAGAGAAAAAGAAAGAGCACCCTGCCCAACGACCAGGACGGCTCAGGAGGCACACGAGTAGGCCGGAGGTCAAACAACGCACGAGACAGCTTGCGGAATGGAGCAGAAGTAACATCAATACCAAATGCAAGCTGCAGCGGCTCCACCCGCACGGCACAATACGAGGCGACAGTATTCGGCATAAGATGACATCTTATGCTGAAACACATGACTGACAGAACTCCCATCGAAAACAGCCAGAAAATGGACCGAAAACCAAGGGTCAAAAGGTGGGAGCAAGCAGAGCATACTGGCATGGACATTGGACCCAAAAACCAGGGCCCAGAACCCAAAGACAGACAGAAAAAACACAGAACCGGGCAAAAAACCAACACCCAAACGCTCCCAGAGGAACGGAAAGGGCAGAATGCTCTGAAAAAAAGGACAAAACAGACACGGCAACAGGATAAAAAATTCCAGACGGAGGTGAAAAAATACCCTCAAAACACGAGTGTCCACTGCCAGTCAAATTTAAATAAACAAACCACAGCATTGCCCTGGTGGCCAAGTGGTGAAGTACCCACAAAAAAAAATGGCCACCAAAACAAGAGGAGATGCGACAGACGCAAGGGAGCTGAAATCATGCCAGCAAATGTGGGAAATAAATCGGATGGAAGGAGGGACAAAATTCCCACCCTCCCCCCACCCACCCATCAGGCACAAGGCCCAAGCAGGGAAAAACAGCCCCAGAACTGATAGCGGGCATCTCCACAGCCCGGGAATCCCCAGAGGCCCCAAGGCAGAGCCACCCTCCATGCCCACCACCCTAGAAGAAAGGCAGAGTCCAAGGGAAAAGCAACAAGAAGGGAGACTGCTGATAAGGCCCAGAAGCCTCGGCGGGAGGAGCAGGCTCAAAGGCCTCCGTCCCCGTAATGAATGGGGAGAGCCCCAGGAGCCGCCCGAGTCTCATCCCGACTAAACGTTGCCCTGACCCCAAAAAAACCCAGATGTTAGGAAGCCAGCAGCAGGGGAGGGGGAGGAGCAAAGTAGCCACAACAGCAGGGAAGGGACTCAGGAGCATGGACCAAACCAATGTCGAAGCGACCGACGCCCTCAAATCTGACCTAACCAAAACGGGGCAGCCCCAGGGCATCTGAGTGGGCAACCAACCTAGCGCGCGTTGCAGCAACATACACCAGAAAGAAACACAGATGCTGCCTGAACCCGACCCTCAGAAACAAGAGAGTGGGTAAACTGGAGCACGATCAGAACACTTCTCGCAAGACTCCAGGTCAAAGGTGTCATTGACCCAACAGGCAGCATGAAGGAGGCGAAAAAGGTGAGTCACCCCGAGATAAGGGTGAGTCACCCCGAGATAAGGGTGAGTCACCCCGAGATAAGGGTGAGTCACCCCGAGATAAGGGTGAGTCACCCCGAGATAAGGGTGAGTCACCCCGAGATAAGGGTGAGTCACCCCGAGATAAGGGTGAGTCACCCCGAGATAAGGGCGAGTCACCCCGAGATAAGGGCGAGTCACCCCGAGATAAGGGCGAGTCACCCCGAGATAAGGGTGAGTCACCCCGAGATAAGGGTGAGTCACCCCGAGATAAGGGTGAGTCACCCCGAGATAAGGGTGAGTCACCCCGAGATAAGGGTGAGTCACCCCGAGATAAGGGTGAGTCACCCCGAGATAAGGGTGAGTCACCCCGAGATAAGGGTGAGTCACCCCGAGATAAGGGTGAGTCACCCCGAGATAAGGGTGAGTCACCCCGAGATAAGGGTGAGTCACCCCGAGATAAGGGTGAGAACTCGGAACAACCTTCAAACTCGCACAAGGCGAGCTGGAACTCGGAAGACGCATCCATCGGTCTACCGAGCCCCGACGGGGTTTTATAGAGCCCGCAGGCTGACTGCTATGGGAAGGCCAGGCAAGGTGCTGCAAAACCAATTGAACCCAAGTAACTAACAAAGGGGGATGAACTAAAACTGAACCCCTGTGACGTGTACAATCATGGGGGCCTTGAGGAGGGCCACCAAAATACCTATAGATGATCAAAATACCTATAGATGATCAAAATACCTATAGATGATCAAAATACCTATAGATGATCAATAGCCAAACAAAGCAGACCCCCTCCAGGCAAGGAAACAAAAATAAAAAATAAAAATCAAGCAAAAGTACATCACCAAAAGGAACAGGAACACAACCGCTGCATTGGTAGGCAAGTTGCATAGCATCTTGCTTGCTTTGTTTTCCAGCAAACAAGACCACTTCCTACCCAAGGCCAAACAAAGGCCACGAAACCCCCATCTGGCCAGAGGTTTGGGGTAAATGCCGAGCAGCAAGAACCCCTACAGAAGTGGAGTCTCGAAGACACTATGGAAGGCAACCCTAGCACCCAAGGGTAGTACTTACAGGGTGTTTAGGGAAGGTAACCCTAAGTGTATGCAGCCCCAGTACACTGATGTTACACCTGACCACCACACCACAAACATCAGAGAACACCACTAAGGCACAACAAACTGGGGTGAGAGTAGCCGGCATGGGTGTCTGGGGAACCCCCCCTTCCCCTCCCGGGGAGGGTAAGGCTGTGCAGACGAGCAGCGCGGCAGTGGTGAATTACATTTCCTTGGGTGTTGGGGGGAGTTCTGCCTCTGTTAAGTTGCAAATTTCTTACCAAGTGGGGTTTGTTTTGCTGTGCCTACCTTTCTGGGTGCCTAACCCTGGTCGACGGCAGACAAGGAATACCCCAACCAAATGGGGCTTTCCGTAGGCCATTGTTCCCCTTGACTGAGAGGGGGGCCCAGGTTCTGGTTCGTGGTCCAAGGTAGGCTGAACTTCAATTGACTGTTGTCCCAGACTAATATATAGCATATCAGTCCGATGGCTCCAGGGAGCCGATGGAGCTCCCCACAAAAAACTAGATATAAAACATTGAAATAATTATGTAACAATGTATTTTCAGCTGCCCTTGCCACATTTTTTTTTTTTAGTTTCCAGTGATCAGAAAACTTATTTTTAACAATACAGCATAAAAAAAATGGGGGGAATAATTTTTTCTGCACACCAGGGGTTTGTCATATTTAATAGTGGCACAACAGAGTTGTTAAAAGGAAAATGTATCATTATAATAAGACAAAATGTACATTTTAAAAAGCAGCTACAACACACTGCATGGGCCAGTGACCTATAAACAATATATTCCAGCTATAACCTAGTCTATTATTTATCTATATACCCTGCCTTGTATACTTGCACATAAAAGAAAAGTTCACGCCCTTTTTGTATCAACGTCACCGAGTAAACGATCATTCGAGTTGGTTATTTAATTGAAAACAAACATTTTCACATGTAGCCTAAAAGAAAGTTATGGTATTAAAGGCTGAAGAGAAGGTGATGATGGGATACATGTATAATGGTTTGGAGCTAATGTTCTTATCTGTGAAAGTCATGGCGAACAGTACCTTAAGTATTGTACAATTAGCGGGTGCGACTGGAGAGTCAGGCAGCAGGTGTGCTGGGCCCGAGAACATCATACAAGCTGTCCAGTTCTTGGCAGTTTTAGATGCTAACTCAATCATCACCTCCAGTGCACTCGGGTCTCCTGTAACAAAAAAATCAGTCGTAGACTTCAACTTGAAGACAATAATACAATTACATTATGACCTACAATAATATAATTACATTAAGCCTAGAACTATATAGTGGGAGATGTCAATTTCAGAACTAAGCACTGAATATAATTAAGAGTGCCATGGTGTATTTCCTGTAGTCAGTTTCAAGAGTTATTTATGCTCTCACAACCAGATGTGAGGCTGGGCCGAGTATGGGTTCTATACAGCCTATTTGTACACTTATGTCTGGAATCTTGGCATACTAATTACGGTGAATCATGTATAATACCTCTAAGATATAGTATTTCTATAGCTTCAGACGGTGTGTCAAAAGTCAAACTCTGAAAACCGATTTAGTTTTCTAACAGATCTATTTTCAGTATTTTAGATGGCTCACCTTCTACAACTACCTGTTCCACAAGGATCTGTTGTCACCACTCATTAATTAACAATAATAAAACCCAAAACTATCAAGCACGCATTCTTCTAGAGCTCTTAAGTTCTCAAATATCTAACCAAAATTCCAACTCTCTGGGGCACTGCACATTAGTCAAATTCAACTCCATAAATACCAAATTTTATATTTTTACACTGCAAAAACTTCTGTAAATTAACATACTTTGAAAAGTCCTGTGTGAACCTTCAATCTTATCAATTTCATAAATTACAGATTTCATAATCTTGAGCAATTAGCCTCAGTAATGGAGGTGAATGCACTTGCCAAGTGTCCTAAGTGTACCTATACACACCATGCAGCTGGAACAAGTTATGGAAATTCCTCAAGCCCACTCATAACACAAAACTCTACCTCTACAACAATTAAAACGCTTATCCCTTGTCATGTGAATCCCCTGCAGAGCAGTGTAACTGCCTTTTCCCTTCACCTTCAATGCCTTTGCACTGGAAGACTACATCTACACCAGCCCAGATGAATCATCAGTCCTGCCACCTCTAAATACCCCCTAGGCCTGGCATGGCCTGGTATGACTCGGAGGCAAGCTGGGCACCTCTGTTAACCGGTAGTTTGCCTTCACAAACAAGCAGTTAGCCGCCTTCAACTGGCAGTGGTGCAGCTCAACACAAAGGCACCGCCAGCCACAACGAGCAGTTTGCTAGTTGACCAGATGTCCAATATGCATTGACACCGGACGAGTCATCACCACCGGACTATATACAGGACGCCGCCTCCCCTGAGAGGCAGTCTCTCTCCTAGTGCTCTTGGAACACCTTGGTCTCTCTCACCCGTCGTCTGCCGTCAGCCAATGCCGTGTGTCTGATGCCATGGTGGTATGGTAGCTGTCTTCAGTACACCAGTACGTATATCTTCATGCATTGTATTAAACTTTCATTTACTTATTTGATTTGTTACATAATAATAGTCAAGTATTCTCATGCATCATTTTTGTTCATTAATATTTCAGTAAATTGTTTTAATTATTTATTTTATGATTTTCATTTGTTTCCACCTGCGACTTAAACACTGCAAGGCCAATAGCATTTTTTTTATTATTATTTGTGTGAGGGTGAGCCATACCATCTTGGTTCAGCAAAGCTGCAATACCACAACCCGTCACACCCTCATGAGGTTTTATATATATTTATTTGCACTGTATCATTGCCCATTTCACGGATGGTTATCCCCTGGGCCGTACACCCATTCATAGTCGACAACCCCACAATGAGAACAAAAATTGTTCTGAAAAAACTCATTTTAATTTTGACATTGTTAATTGGCAATCAGGAAGCAAGAAAATTCAAGTAAAAAGACTGTACCTCTCGTGGTTCAGCTGTAGTGGCCCGGAGAAGAGTTTTTTCAGTAGAAAAGCAATAAGGTTTCAGTAGAATAACTTTGTCAATTTATTTTCATCGTTTCTCACTTAGTTTTTTCCATGCTAATGGAAATTATATATTTTATATTTTATATTATATTTTATATTATATATTACAGTATATATATATATTATATATATAAATATATATATATATATATATAAATATATGTCGTACCTAGTAGCCAGAACGCACTTCTCAGCCTACTATGCAAGGCCCGATTTGCCTAATAAGCCAAGTTTTCCTGAATTAATATATTTTCTCAAATTTTTTTTCTTATGAAATAATAAAGCTACCCATGTCATTATGTATGAGGTCAATTTTTTTTTATTGGAGTTAAAATTAACGTAGATATATGACCGAACCTAACCAACCCTACCTAACCTAACCTATCTTTCTAGGTTAGGTTAGGTTAGGTAGCCAAAAACGTTAGGTTAGGTTAAGTAGGTTAGGTTGTCGAAAAACAATTAATTCATGAAAACTTGGCTTATTAGGCAAATTGGGCCTTGCATAGTAGGCTGAGAAGTGCATTCTGGCTACTAGGTACGACATATAATAAATATATTATATATATATATATATATATATATATATATATATATATATATATATATAGACACACACACACACACACACACACACACACACACACACACACACACACACACACACACACACACACACACACAGATAGAGAGAAGCTGAAACTGAACCTCGCCGAGGCAAAACATTTAAATGAGAGCAGGAATGAAGAAGAAATAAATTCTTTTTTCTACAAAGTGATAGGGGTAGGCAAACCAGTAAAGTGGTACATAAAGGCAAACCAACAAAATCAATAGAGAGAGGGGGAGTGAAGAATAAGGAGAGGGGGAACAAGTTCCTGAAGATTGCATACACCAACATAGATGGAGTGAGATCGAAGATATTGGAGTTAAGTGATGTAATACAGCTGCAGACACCAGACATTGTTGCACTCACGGAGACAAAACTTGAAGATGTAATTTTAAATGAGGTCATATTCCCAAGGGGCTACTCAATTTGGAGACGGGACAGAAAAATTAGGAAAGGCGTTGGCGTTGCTGTGCTGGTAAAAGAACACCTAAAGGTGAAGGAAATAATGACTGCCAATCCACAAGAAGTTGACATAATAGCACTAGAGATCTGCTATGAGGATGATAAACTAATGATGATAAATGCATATAGTCCACCGCCAAGCAGCACATGGTCAAAGGAGGAGCTAGATAGTAAACGTGAAGGTCTTGTAACAATAATGAGAGAGATTATAGCGAGAGCGGATAACGATAGATCACAACTGTTGATAGTCGGTGACTTCAACTTGAAATCCATAGACTGGGAAGCATATGAAGCTAAAACAGAAGATTTTTGGACCTGTAAATTTGTAGACCTCATCCTGGAAACATTCTTGTATCAACATGTTAAACAAGCTACGAGGATGAGGGAAGGGGACGTTCCCTCCATGCTAGATTTGATATTTACCAGGAAGGAGGAAGAGATATTTGACATTCAGTACCTTCCTCCCTTGGGTAAAAGTGACCATGTCTTTTTGGGAATAAAGTATGCAATGCGTTATAAGCTGGAAGAAAATAAGGAGGTTGAAGCAGTTGAAAAACCAGACTTCAGGAGAGGACATTATGGTGACCTTAGAAATTTTTTTAGTGAGTATAATTGGACAGACTTGATGCTAGGCAAGGAAGTGAATGAGATGTATGGCAAGTTTTGTGAAATATATGATAAAGGCACAAAAAAATTTATACCAAAACAGAGATGCAGAACTAGGAAACAGGATTGGTTCAATAGAAATTGCGAGAGGGCTAGAGACCGAAAGACACAAAAATGGAATCAATACAGGAAGAGGCCGAACCCCCAAACATACCAGCGATACAAAGATGCGAGAAACAACTACACGGCAGTGAGGAGAGAGGCAGAAAAAAATTTTGAAAAAGGGATTGCGGACAAATGTAAAACAGAACCAGGTCTATTCTATAAATTCATAAACAACAAATTGCAGGTAAAGGATAATATTCAGAGGTTGAAAATGGGAAATAGATTCACGGAAGATGAAAAGGAAATGTGTGAAACACTAAACGAAAAGTTCCAAAGTGTGTTTGTACAAAATGAAATCTTTAGGGAACCAGATACAATAAGAATTCCAGAGAACAACATAGAACACATAGAGGTGTCTAGAGACGAAGTGGAAAAAATGCTCAAGGAGCTCGGTAAGAACAAAGCAGCTGGCCCAGATGGCGTTTCACCATGGGTTCCGAGAGAATGTGCATCTGAGCTCAGCATTCCACTTCACCTGATCTTTCAGGCATCCCTGTGTACAGGAATCGTAGCAGACGGGTGGAAACAGGCTAACATAGTTCCAATCTACAAAAGTGGCAGCAGGGAAGACCCCCTCAATTATAGACCTGTATCATTGACAAGTGTAATAGTGAAAGTATTGGAAAAACTAATCAAAACTAAATGGGTAGAACACCTAGAGAGAAATGATATAATATCAGACAGACAGTATGGTTTTCGATCTGGAAGATCCTGTGTATCGAATTTACTCAGTTTCTATGATCGAGCCACAGAGATATTACAGGAAAGAGATGGTTGGGTTGACTGCATCTATCTGGACCTAAAAAAGGCTTTCAACAGAGTTCCACATAAGAGGTTGTTCTGGAAACTGGAAAATATTGGAGGGGTGACAGGTAAGCTTCTATCATGGATGAAAAATTTTCTGACTGATAGAAAAATGAGGGCAGTAATCAGAGGCAATGTATCAGAATGGAGAAATGTCACAAGTGGAGTACCACAGGGTTCAGTTCTTGCACCAGTGATGTTTATTGTGTACATAAATGATCTACCAGTTGGTATACAGAATTATATGAACATGTTTGCTGATGATGCTAAGATAATAGGAAGGATAAGAAATTTAGATGACTGTCATGCCCTTCAAAAAGACCTGGACAAAATAAGTATATGGAGCACCACTTGGCAAATGGAATTTAATGTTAATAAATGTCATGTTATGGAATGTGGAATAGGAGAACATAGACCCCACACAACCTATATATTATGTGAGAAATCTTTAAAGAATTCTGATAAAGAAAGAGATCTAGGAGTGGTTCTAGATAGAAAACTATCACCTGAGGACCACATAAAGAATATTGTGCAAGGAGCCTATGCTATGCTTTCTAACTTCAGAATTGCATTTAAATACATGGATGGTGATATACTAAAGAAATTGTTCATGACTTTTGTTAGGCCAAAGCTAGAATATGCAGCTGTTATGTGGTGCCCATATCTTAAGAAGCACATCAACAAACTGGAAAAGGTGCAAAGACATGCTACTAAGTGGCTCCCAGAACTGAAGGGCAAGAGCTACGAGGAGAGGTTAGAAGCATTAAATATGCCAAAACTAGAAGACAGAAGAAAAAGAGGTGATATGATCACTACATACAAAATAGTAACAGGAATTGACAAAATCGACAGGGAAGACTTCCTGAGACCTGGAACTTCAAGAACAAGAGGTCATAGATTTAAACTAGCTAAACACAGATGCCGAAGAAATATAAGAAAATTCACCTTCGCAAATAGAGTGGTAGACGGTTGGAACAAGTTAAGTGAGAAGGTGGTGGAGGCCAAGACCGTCAGTAATTTCAAAGCGTTATATGACAAAGAGTGCTGGGAAGACGGGACACCACGAGCGTAGCTCTCATCCTGTAACTACACTTAGGTAATTACACACACACACACACACACACCCCATACATACCTGTATATACAGATATGAGTATAAGCATACACACACACACATACATACATACCTGTATATACAGATATGAGTATAAGCATACACACACCATGAATTTCTTCATACTATAACTATATACAAGTACATGTAACTGCACCCAATTTGCCTGCAACTGCAGGTATATACATTGTATGCACACAGTATACAATTTGCCCAGTGGAAGGGTTATCTGGATTTTCTACTACCATTTATACAGCTGTATCTCACAATATCTTTAACTGTATTTGTACCTCTTCTATAAACAGTATAATTATTCAATAATTAACTAAAACTTGGGGTCTTTAGCACAGTTGGCTTCATTCTTTACTCACAATTTGGGGATCTTGTTTTCAATTCCCAGTAGGAACAGAAATAGTTGGGCAAGTATCCTTTCATCCAATGCCTCTGTGTACCTAACAGTAAACAGGTTTCCAGGAGTTAAGCAGCTCCTGGGGAGGGTCAGTAATTCGACAACAGGGAAAACCTCAATGAAAGTCTAAAGTATATTTAACATATACACAGGCTTCCTGTCCATGACAAAAAAATAACAAATAAATACTAGTTAATTATTTAAATTATATGATCACAATCATAAAGCGACAGCAATTCACTCTTTTTAATTGTAAACTAGAGCACTTTCCTGCATTTCACTGTCAATTCCAGAACAAACTACCACCACGCCATGTTTCTGGACTTTTGATCTTTATTCTCAAGTCGTGTCTGAAGTTTTCTTCTGGTCAGTGCAATAGTTTATATGCTAAATTTTCTGGCCTTTAATTTTGATTTGGCAATTTGCATCAGACTTTAAACAAAAATTATTATATTTTACATGGCACACCCTCTTGACAGGTAAACATCCTCAATTAACTCCCAGAAGTCTCTTTAAGATAAAATTTACTTACCCTTAAAACCAAGATATTTAGCTGGTAACAGGGAGTGAAGTGCCATTCCCATAACAGTGCTGCCACCTTTGCCCACTTGCACATCTGCCAATATACTCAGTGTAACATTTGCTTCCGTTTCATTAACACTCCTTTCAGAATTCAGTGTTACTACAGAAGGCAAGTCATTGTTTGGTCTTATCTTTGTCACTCTTGAAGCTCCACTTTCAGGAAAACATATTTTCATGTCTGACAAAGTTGAATAAAAGCTGTTCCAGTCCTGTTGAATAAATATTAGCAATATGTATACAATTATTCTTAATTATTAATTTCTATAAGAAAATATTCTGCCCCTGAATTTCCTGGCAATCATTGAAAAGCAAAACCAGTGTTGAATGTAACTAAAAGCAAAATTCTCGATGAACCCCAGTGGTTCCCCGAAGCTACAATGCTGATCTAATGCCAAACTAGTAGGTGTCATCAGTTGCGGTGTTCTTTTAGGCCTACTGGGGATATGAGCCAGGACCTGGTCCCCATCTAATGAGGTGTAAGCAGCAGTGGCACTGTGATAAAATTGTCTGAATTTTAATCATGTCTACCACCACTGGGGGAAGCACCCACAAATTCAACAAAACAAAATGAAATCCTCCCAGTTATAAAAATTATTTACCCTTGGGCAGCAGCTATGGAGAAATGTTCATACCCACCTATGTGGAGAAAAACAGAAAGGAGAAAAAACAAAATTCATTATAGAAGTATTAATTTGTATGCAAAATGTAAGAAACACACAAAAATAAGTGCATATTTATCATTTCACTGGGTGGAGGTGCTCTGGAAGGTTGCGTGGTGGCCGTGTCTGGCGCCTGCCAACACTTCGAGCTCGACTTTGCCAACAGTTACTGTGTTATCCTCCGATGTTTCACCATTTGTTTCTCTATTTAGAAGCGTGTGTGTTGAATAACCTCATCAATCACAATTCACATAACACATGATAAAGTTTCAATTGATGATTGGTTTTCCTGGTACAGTATATGCCATTACAACCAGTATAAAGTAGTGAAAAGGATGGGAACATAATATGTAATGGTGCTGGGCTCTGGGAGATAGTATCCACTCGATTTAAGGACACCTTATTTATCGTTCCACCGGTACTAATGACCGATTTTTAGATCGTTAACTGGTGCCTTATTTACAAAGTCATGGGTCATTAAATCTGGAATACGGTCTAGAGTTTACAGAGTCCGGTACATGTTAAACTGGAGGCAGTATTGTGTTTGTTGTGACAACCTTGCTCTCGCTAGGCCAGAAGTTACATTTTGCGAGGCAGGCAGGTCGAGTCGAGCCGAGCCGAGCTGAGCCCAGCCGAGCCCAGCCCAGCAAAGTTCAGCCAATCTGCCTTGGGAGGCCACCATCTGGTAGGAAGGTAGCCGAGAATCTGAACCGTATTAATACCATATGGGTGACCGTCTACACGTGCCTGGAGGGGTGGGGGATATTTCTGGGAGGGTCTGGTGTGGGGATGGGGAGGGGGGGAGCAGAGGGGATGTGGTTTGACCACAGCCAGTCTGTGATAGTCCACCTGCTACCCTGGCACAATAGCCCCTTCCCCCAAATCTGCTTGAACCCACCCAAACCTGCCCAAACCAACCAAAGTCCACCCACCCAAGCCTGCCAGTATACCTGCCCACCCCAACTTTCACCTGCCCGCCCGCCCACCTGGAAGCCAGTTACCCATTCATCCAACCATCCATCAAGCCAGCCCACCCACCTACTAGCCAGTTAACCAGCCAGCCCACTCACCATTCATCCTGCTGCTTTCCCAAAATATGATTAAACAGTTAGACATTTTTAAACTGGATTTAACAGACCTCCAGATTTAACAACCTGGGTACAGCCCCATATAGGGGCTATATAGGTTGGCCTATATATATGGCCAATTAAGCCATATATATGGTTATATATATATACAGGCATACCTCAGAATAAGAGTTTAATCCGTTCCTGGAGACGCCTCGCCTTCCAAAAACTCGCATTCCGAAGTTAATTTCCCCATAAGAAATAAAGGGAAATGAATTGATCCGTTCCTGACTACCCCAAAAACCCCACATCAAACTAAATTTTTATACCTAATTTACCTAATTCATCTAAATAAACCTACAAAACTGTGTTCCAGTTATTACTTACCTTGCTGTCGAGTGCTGTAGGCGTATGGAAGATGGTGAGGAGGGGGGAGGAGGAGAGGAGTTACTGTTTGGAAGGGGAGTCCCCTTCCATAATCACATCACATAACCCCATGCCTTGTAACACTATGGATACCACTTCTCTTTCTAAATTTTTCAAACCAGCCCCTGTTTGCCTTAAACTCTTTCTTATCTGCATCACTCGTTGCAGGGGTATTTTTTAGAAGGTCTTCGTGCAACACCCTGGCTTTCTCACAAATAATGGCCTCCGAAACACTATCACCCCTCAACTCCTTGTCGTGTATCCAAATTAATAACAACTTTTCCACTTCTTCAAGTATTTGTGGTCTTTGTGCCGTTAATGTTCTTACTCCTTATGCCACTTTAGCACCCATAATCTTATTTTTCTTCTTAAGTATAGTGCATATTGTTGATGTGGCTTTGTTGTACTGCCTACAAAGTTCAACAACACGTGTACCGTTCTCATGCTTCCGAATGATCTCGTTTCTCCTCTATTGTCATCCTCACATGAGCTTTCTGGCCTTTATCCTTACCACTGGCTTTCTTGGGACCCATGGTGAGATATATAATAACAAATTGTATAGACAAATCACCAAAAATCCAAGAAAACACTGAAAATCCGCGAGAAGAATTGATGTGGGGGTAGTCACTGAGCGCGAGACAATAATAAACTGAGGGGCGGCGGGGCGGAGGGGCGACGAACGCGCTAGGTCGGCTGTACGCGTATCAACAAACTCGCGTCCAAACTCGCCTCCCGAAGTAACCATCGCCTTCCGAGACAAATTTTTGGAGTAAATACACCTCGCCTTCCGAAAATCTCGCATACAGGGACAATCGCATTCCGAGGTACCACTGTATGGCCTAATTGGCCCCATATGCGCGAGATTATAGAGTGAAACAAAGGCGCAAGCCATCACTGTGCACCCATATAATAATCGTCATGTTAAGATAAGTACTGGACATTACACTCCATTTCATCCACAGACCTATTTCAGTGGAACCTCGGTTGATGAATGCCCCTCTTTATGAATTTTTCAGCTTGCGAACTCAATTTTATCATAAAATTTGACTCGGTATACGAGCTTTGCCTCGCATGGCGAGTGTGTCGATACACGTATGGGTCGACCTGAGGTCCACCAGCTCTTAGTTCTTGGTGGCACAGGCGAGGCGTGCTTCAGTTTACCCGTGTCTCCCGCCTAGTGATGATAGTGCTATGAATTCTTTGAGAAGAATTCAATTGTTTTTGTGCCTTTTAGGTTTCTGAACATTATTATATATCATGCCATGGGTCCCAAGAAAGTCAATGGTAAAGTATAACCTAAAAAAAATAGTTGCGAGTAGAGGACGTTCCTTCAAGAAAAGGTGTGAAGTATGGGAAGAACTGTACAGTTTTGCTGAAAAGACTCTCCCACATAAAGCTGTAGCTGGCCGTTGCATTGACCTTTTTAATGACAATGTGATGTCTCACTATAGACAAGCATTAAAATGTAGGAAAGAACTTAGGTCTTTGGTCAGATTCTTAGTAAGACAAGCAAGCAGTGAGCCACAACCAGTGGTATGCCTGCAAAACGTAAGAGAGTGTACCCCAGAAAAGTCAACACTGCCTTATGTTATAATGAAAGGGGACTTCCCTTACAAACACTAACACCTCTCCTCCTCCCCACCATCCTCCATATGCCAACAAGAGTCCTCATTAAATGTAAGATATATTTGTACTACAGTATGAACAAGTACAGTAGTAGTATGTATAAAATGTATTAAGTTAATATTTTTGGGGTGTGGAATGGATTAATTCAATCTACATTATTTCTCATGGGAAATTCATTTCGGTTTATGACCCGTCTCTGGGAACGGAGTAAACTCGAAAACGAAGGTACCACTGTACAGTATATCCTTATTTGCATCGTACATGGAAAACCCAGACAATTATTGTTTAACCACCGTGCTGCTTGCCTTCCAAATACGGCAACCCCCCCAAATCGTGCACAGGAAATAAATTCTCAGAATTTTTTTTTAATGTTAAATATCCTTCCCTGATCACAGATGTAAAAATAAAATCGAAATTGTACTTTCTTTTACCGCAATGGGAGCCGGAAAATGGTGTGTGACGTCACGATTTGGTGGTCGCCCGTGACGTAGACTCCCGGAGCTAGTCGTCCGCCAACTTCAACATGCACAAGTTGCCACAAATATTTTTTTTCCATTTTTTGTGTATATTTCCAAATACATTTGTTTTTTCTTGCTAATCCTATGTATAATGAACACGTACACAATATTATGGCAGTAGAACATCTGTACTGTCCCAAGACACTTATGTGTCACAAATGTGTCCACATATATTGCTCATATATCCATGTTTCATGTTCATTTATGTATATTTACAACATATTTACACACTATACACTATCACACTATATACATTCACCATCAACACACTCAGAACTCTGCGAGTGTGAGCTGTCACACCCAGTCAGCCCTCCCTCACTCCTCCAACACCTAGCTTACTCCTTACACCTTACTCGCCAATACTGCTCCTCCCACCATACTGTTATTGTTTTTATTACACTATTTACACACGTTATGTATACGTATCTACACGTTTTATTCACCATAACTATGCAAGCAAGCCAGTATTGTGTTAGTAAGCCAGTATTGTTAGTATGTTAGCCGGCATTGAAGTATGCGTGCACTTCCATGCATTTGCCAGTGAAGAGTCTGTACTCTTTGATGCTTTAGAGCTTTTCCTTGCAGTAAGTCTCGCCAAAGCACACTGCTGCTGCTCCTCTTATGGCTGAACTATTATCTCTACTTCTTAACTTATTTTATATCAAGTGTTTTGTTATGTAATTCCAGGCCTATAGACTTAACTCAAAGATTATTAACTGATATCTATTATATGCCAATGTTAAGGCATTAATCAATTAGACCTATATACAGTACTGTATATTTTAACCCTTTTGCTGCAAAAACCAACAACTGGTTTACTGTTCAGGTACATTTAATATTTATAGTTTAGATGCACTGAATTATGCCCCACCAAGTTTTAGAAAAATATGTCTCAAGCCGAGGCCAAATATGGGTGTGTAAAGAACAGTAGTTGATGGCATATTGTAACACATTTTTAAATGTTAAAAATGTAACCTGGTTGTTGGCGAGCTGTGGTAATACAGAACTGTATATGCAACCTATCTTCAAAACCAAGGACACAAATCAATTCCATGCAGCAACCATTCCATCTACAGTATTTATAATAAATATACTTTACATGACTTACAGCCTATATGCTAATACTTCTCAAAAAGTACTTTTCCCCATCCAGTACTTTGCTCAAAATGCTTCACACCCTTTGAATCTAATTGTGCACAAAAATGAAGACTAGCATATTTGATAAACACATTACAATCAGAAGAAAAATGGTTAATTTAATTGGTTATTATTAACCATAAACTGGAAAAAATCTTACCTTTATATCTGGATTTAGAATTTCCGATCTGTGACCTTGCAAGTACAGAGACACGCCCACAAGGGCAATGGCAAATGCTGCAATACTTGCAGCAAATACTGCTAATGGTGGCTTGCTACCTACACATTCTCTCATACTGCTGCACACTCCCATTTGAACAGCTTTCTAGTACCTACAATGGCATACATTATTACATAAACTTAATTGAATAATAAAAAATTAAATTCAATTAAACATTAAGTAACATGAAATAAATCATTTATAACATATACAGTAATAAGAAGCAAATTTTTATCTTTCATAGTTCCAATGGCAATTTATGCTATGCAGTATATAGTTTATTATATCAAGATACAGTATATTACAGCTGAAACTTTGAAAATCAAATCAGATAACATGATTTTCAAATCTGAAATATAACATTTAGCACCAAGTAGGTGACAACTTTACCCAGGATGGTAAACATTGTTTCAGACAGGAATACAGTGTATGCTGGTGAATAGGATGCATTGTTATAACCAAGCTTAACCCTTTAAACTGTGCATATCAACCAGGGTCATTTCATCAGTGGTGTACATGTCAACATGGGTCTATATTAGGTGTAGATTAATATTTTAAACTCCCGCAGGTACATGAGGTTCACATCCACTTCTTCAGGCCTACAGTAAACAGATGCCATCCTGAAAAAAATTGTGGGCACCCTTCCTGGGTGTGAGGGCCTCAGTACTCTACTAAGACAGCAACCATGGTAGTGCATACAGCAGCAGCTCACAGCACTGCCATACCGCTTATGCCCACAGCAACAATCATGAAATAAATAGGTTATTGCATTTATTTAACAATGATAGTGACATAGATGACCCTGACAGTGATAAAGACTATGAACAAGGTTCATATAACAGTGAAGCCAATGTAAATGATGGTCACATTGCGAGGAACAAAGCCACGGCACGCAACCATGGTTTGGTGCATCTGTGCATCATCCAATGGGATCTTGTGTTCGTTTAGATAATGTGAAAAATTAGTCATATTCTGGATTTTGTGACCATGATTTTGACAATAATAGCAATGTTTGGGCTAGTTTTTGCCTAAGAGTAGACACTGTCACATGTTCGCAAAGTGTCGAGCAACACTTTGCTTTGTCAGTTGCTGTCAGCAACTCAAGAACGTGTAGGACTATGTTGTGCTTGGATCAATGGTTACGAGATTATCACACCCATCAGAACCACTTGGTGGTTCGCAACAGTACCTAAACTTATGCACTAGCATGTATGTATGTATACAGTATGGCAACAGCAAAAACAGTACATTTATTGTTTTAATATTATAATATGGAGCATATATTAGTTATATAAATATATCTGTGCATACCTATGTTCTACACCTTGCGATATAAATAACATTTATCAGCCCAATGAATCATTGAACTAGAATAACCTATGGTAAAAACCACATAAAACGAATAGAAAATCTATTCAATGTATGCACTTACAACTTGGTGCAAAAGGTTAGCCTAGCTTGGAATAATGGTTATTATATAGTGTGTACAGCATGATAATAGCGATGATAGTATGTTTTTTTAGGGAGGCAGAGAGAGAGCAAAAAGTCACAAGCAAAATAGAGGAATCAAATACTTTTTCTCCTATGCAAAAACTACAACAAAAACTGCAATCAGCATTGGACCCTTGGACACGAGTGATAGCACTTTCACAGATGACAAAGTGAAATCCGAGGCTTCAATACGATTCTGTTTTCAGCGAACCCCTGAACAAATGAAGACCAATGCTCAAAATGAATTTTTCATGAATGGGACACCAACATTGAACCATATATAAGATGTCACCCAAAGCCCATTGAACTTTTGAAGTAGACAGCATGCCCATGCACTCTGCACCAGGATCAAACTCCTAGAATTCTATATTCAAGAAGTGCAAAACATCAGTATTACAGGCCCTAAACATCTTTTGGGAGAGCCTAGATACCAGTGTCATCCTTGACATACTGTATTTAAAACAGCATAGACAGTACCACTTTACAAAGGAGACAGTAAAGCAGATGCAAAAAATTATAGACCAATAGCTCTAACTTCACAAATAAAAAATCTTTAAGAGAGAGCTATGAAGATTACAAAAAACATGGAATCACAACATCTACATGACTCCAGGCAACACAGGTTCAGAACAAGGAAATTTAATCTAAAAAAAAAGAAATTTAAATTAGACAAATTTTAGATTAAATATTTACATGCAAGTTATCAGTAACAGTAAAGGTTCAGCAATTAATTTTCAATAACAGCACGTGATGCTTCAATACAGTAATAGCAAAACACAGATTGACATTTAGGAAGTATGGTTGGTTACATAGATAGTTTCTCTTAATACCTCTTGCTCAAACCACCTTTAAACCACCCTTTTTTTATTTTCTTCCACAAACCCAAAACCGACCAGTCAGAAAGGAAAAAAATCCACTGCTTGAAAGAAAGACGTGAAAAGGAAAAACAAGGCTAATTAAAAGTTTGCAGTCGACCATCTATGACTATCTAGTCATAATTCACCTGGTTACACTAGAAGACGGCTTGGTGTCCCAAACTCTCACGCTTTCCTACCTATTTTTTTTTTTTTTTTGGGGGGGGGGGGCCATATCGTCTTGGGTATGAAGTAATCCTAATCCACTGTGCTTGCATCCACTGGATAAAAGGCACTGTAACTTCACACCAAAGACTGTTTGTCTATTGATTTTAAAACATACCCATCCCAATCTAGCCAAAGTTAACACCCTAATATAACAATACATACAGTAGTGACATTTAGAAAATTACCTTTGTCGAAATGGAAGTTTTAAAGTACCTCCAGTCACTAGCCACCTCACCAAATAGAAACTGGGGGGACTCAAGAGAGGTGTTGCTCCACGAGCCCTGCACATTAGTACTTACAGCTCCTGCCCTTGAAGCCGTTTGTTGAGAAGGTAAGTGATGGTGTGGCCGACGAGGAAGGGTGAAGAGAAGTGGGCGAGGAGACGATGAAGAGGCAACGAGAGTGCTGACAATGACGCAGGAAACAGCAGAACTGGCAGTTATGAAGTAGGCAACTAACGAAGAAGAAGCTGACGAGGCAGCGACGAGGAAGTGGCTGACGAGGACGGAACAAACGAAGAAGCTGCGACGTGTACAATGTTTACCTTGTCTCTTGTGTCCAAGTTCTTTCCCGCGTCTTCGACCTCGACTTCCACACGACCCAACCATAACAAATGTTTAACATTTCCAGCATACAGATATATTTGTAGAGATTACAGTACATAATGCCTTAAGAATAGCTTAATTTCCAATATAAAGATGTTACTTCACATTCCCAGGAAATAAAACCTTTCAATAGTGATAAAAAGTTTCAAAAGTAGGTCAGTAGACCAAACAAATAATAAGTGTTAACGTGGATTTATTGATTTATTTAATCTCTTTTTACTACAATATTAAACTTGCATTTTGATGCAAACTAATATAAATTATGATAAGAATTGTTCTTTTTATGTTTTTCACCAAATCACTTTGCCGATTTCGAACACTCTGTTTTGATGACGTAGAAATGACACCAGCAGTATTTTTTTTAACAAATCAGAACAAATCTCTTATTTCGTTATCGAGAAGGGTAATTTTTCGCTATCTATAGAAAAGAACTCAGTGTTAATACAAAAAACTTGATGTATTTGAAGGACTATCAACATATGTGGTGAGGTGGGGGGCCCCAATCTAAAGTTCGGCTCTGGTTGTTATGAAGTGTGACTCACCTAGTGTTCTGTGAGGTGTGGTGTGGCTCAGGGTAGCTGCGAGGTGTGGTGTGGCTCAGGGTAGCTGCGAGGTGTGGTGTGGCTCAGGGTAGCTGCGAGGTGTGGTGTGGCTCAGGGTAGCTGCGAGGTGTGGTGTGGCTCAGGGTAGCTGCGAGGTGTGGTGTGGCTCAGGGTAGCTGCGAGGTGTGGTGTGGCTCAGGGTAGCTGCGAGGTGTGGTGTGGCTCAGGGTAGCTGCGAGGTGTGGTGTGGCTCAGGGTAGCTGCGAGGTGTGGTGTGGCTCAGGGTAGCTGCGAGGTGTGGTGTGGCTCAGGGTAGCTGCGAGGTGTGGTGTGGCTCAGGGTAGCTGCGAGGTGTGGTGTGGCTCAGGGTAGCTGCGAGGTGTGGTGTGGCTCAGGGTAGCTGCGAGGTGTGGTGTGGCTCAGGGTAGCTGCGAGGTGTGGTGTGGCTCAGGGTAGCTGCGAGGTGTGGTGTGGCTCAGGGTAGCTGCGAGGTGTGGTGTGGCTCAGGGTAGCTGCGAGGTGTGGTGTGGCTCAGGGTAGCTGCGAGGTGTGGTGTGGCTCAGGGTAGCTGCGAGGTGTGGTGTGGCTCAGGGTAGCTGCGAGGTGTGGTGTGGCTCAGGGTAGCTGCGAGGTGTGGTGTGGCTCAGGGTAGCTGCGAGGTGTGGTGTGGCTCAGGGTAGCTGCGAGGTGTGGTGTGGCTCAGGGTAGCTGCGAGGTGTGGTGTGGCTCAGGGTAGCTGCGAGGTGTGGTGTGGCTCAGGGTAGCTGCGAGGTGTGGTGTGGCTCAGGGTAGCTGCGAGGTGTGGTGTGGCTCAGGGTAGCTGCGAGGTGTGGTGTGGCTCAGGGTAGCTGCGAGGTGTGGTGTGGCTCAGGGTAGCTGCGAGGTGTGGTGTGGCTCAGGGTAGCTGCGAGGTGTGGTGTGGCTCAGGGTAGCTGCGAGGTGTGGTGTGGCTCAGGGTAGCTGCGAGGTGTGGTGTGGCTCAGGGTAGCTGCGAGGTGTGGTGTGGCTCAGGGTAGCTGCGAGGTGTGGTGTGGCTCAGGGTAGCTGCGAGGTGTGGTGTGGCTCAGGGTAGCTGCGAGGTGTGGTGTGGCTCAGGGTAGCTGCGAGGTGTGGTGTGGCTCAGGGTAGCTGCGAGGTGTGGTGTGGCTCAGGGTAGCTGCGAGGTGTGGTGTGGCTCCGGGTCGCTGTCAGGTGTGGTGTGGCTCCGGGTCGCTGTCAGGTGTGGTGTGGCTCCGGGTCGCTGTCAGGTGTGTGGCTCAGGGTCGCTGTCAGGTGCGGCGTAATCTGCAGCGTGTCGTCGTCTTCTGTGAGGTTAGTCATTTTTTCATCTGTGAGGTGCAGCGTAATCCGTAATAAGTGCGGCAGAGCCACATATCTGTATGCGGCTCTAGCTCGCTGTGAGGTTTGGCTCTGGCTTGCTGTGAAGTGCAGCTCAGGATCATTGTTAGGTATGGCCGAGGATCATTGTTGGGTGTGGCATAGTGTTGTTGCAATGTTTGGCTCAGGGTCGCTGTGAGGTGTAGCTCCAGGTCAATGAGGTGCGGCTCAGAGTCATGGTGAGGTAGTCCATGGTCACTGTGAGGTGTGACTCAGCTGTTATGAGGTTTAGTTTACGGTTGTATCAGGTATGTCTCAGCCAGTTGTGGTGAAGCGTGGCTGAGAGTTGTAGTGAGGTGCAGCCCAGGGTCAAGACAAGGTGCAGCCCAGGGTCAAGACAAGGTGCTGCCCAGGGTCAAGACAAGGTGCAGCCCAGGGTCAAGACAAGGTGCAGCCCAGGGTCAAGACAAGGTGCAGCCCAGGGTCAAGACAAGGTGCAGCCCAGGGTCAAGACAAGGTGCGGCCCAGGGTCAAGACAAGGTGCGGCCCAGGGTCAAGACAAGGTGCGGCCCAGGGTCAAGACAAGGTGCGGCCCAGGGTCAAGACAAGGTGCGGCCCAGGGTCAAGACAAGGTGCGGCCCAGGGTCAAGACAAGGTGCGGCCCAGGGTCAAGACAAGGTGCGGCCCAGGGTCAAGACAAGGTGCGGCCCAGGGTCAAGACAAGGTGCGGCCCAGGGTCAAGACAAGGTGCGGCCCAGGGTCAAGACAAGGTGCGGCCCAGGGTCAAGACAAGGTGCGGCCCAGGGTCAAGACAAGGTGCGGCCCAGGGTCAAGACAAGGTGCGGCCCAGGGTCAAGACAAGGTGCGGCCCAGGGTCAAGACAAGGTGCGGCCCAGGGTCAAGACAAGGTGCGGCCCAGGGTCAAGACAAGGTGCGGCCCAGGGTCAAGACAAGGTGCGGCCCAGGGTCAAGACAAGGTGCGGCCCAGGGTCAAGACAAGGTGCGGCCCAGGGTCAAGACAAGGTGCGGCCCAGGGTCAAGACAAGGTGCGGCCCAGGGTCAAGACAAGGTGCGGCCCAGGGTCAAGACAAGGTGCGGCCCAGGGTCAAGACAAGGTGCGGCCCAGGGTCAAGACAAGGTGCGGCCCAGGGTCAAGACAAGGTGCGGCCCAGGGTCAAGACAAGGTGCAGCCCAGGGTCAAGGCAAGGTGCAGCCCAGGGTCAAGGCAAGGTGCAGCCCAGGGTCAAGACAAGGTGCTGCCCAGGGTCAAGACAAGGTGCTGCCCAGGGTCAAGACAAGGTGCTGCCCAGGGTCAAGACAAGGTGCTGCCCAGGGTCAAGACAAGGTGCTGCCCAGGGTCAAGACAAGGTGCTGCCCAGGGTCAAGACAAGGTGCTGCCCAGGGTCAAGATGAGGTGCTGTCCGGGTTCAAAATGAGGTGCTGCCCAAGATTGTGTATGTTACATCAATGTTTGCCCTTCAATTTTCTCATAATAAATTGCTATGTTAGGATTGCCTCAAAGAAGACAATGTGATTTGTTGGCAAGATGGCACCAGTCAGTCCAGATGAGAAGTTACAATTGGCAAAGGTAGGTAAACAATAGACCCAGTCATGACTTTCACTTTCAACTAAATTAATGTGTTTAACTTTCTCGATGCTGTAGTTGTACTGGAAATACTATGTATGAAATTTATTGAGGTAGGCTACAGGAGTTACAGAACAGAGGGAGGCCCATATTGTATATGTAGGTATCTGGCTATTTCTATTAGTCCAAATTTCTATATATATTTACAATGGGCTTCAGAACTGGCAGTAAGGAAGGCATGAGTGGTAATAACCATTCTGTGGCTGTGGTCACCACAGGAACCAAATGTAGTGATTGCTGAATACATAATGATGAACCCTGTCTATGTAAAACCTTACTTGTGAAAGAAAGAGAAATATCTGCTTCTTTAACAATCAAAAACAATAATGCAGTGCCTCCTTACCTTACCTTGAGGTTACCTTGAGGTGCTTCCGGGGCTTAGTGTCCCCGCGGCCCGGTCGTCGACCAGGCCTCCTGGTTGCTGGACTGATCAACCAGGCTGTTCGACGCGGCTGCTCGCAGCCTGACGTATGAGTCACAGCCTGGTTGATCAGGTATCCTTTGGAGGTGCTTATCCAGTTCTCATCATCAGCCCATCATCAGGCCTCATCAGCTTCTATCCAACATATTCAAAATTGTTTAAGTTAGGTTAGGGTTGTTTATATTTACATTTCAACTAAAAAAAATACAAGATTTACACTTTAATGATTATATTGTGTCATTGAGCCTAATGGTCATTTGTTACTATCTCTGTTCTCTGGAATACAAATTTATACACAGTATTTACACTACTTGATAAAGGTTCAGGATTTCAAAAACCATCGATAGTCATATACATAAAAACAGCCTGATTATTAGAAACCTATAAAACAGAAAAAAAAACAAGATGCTTAGAGGCAAACTGAAGGAGATAAGAAACACAGAATGATACATAAATGCACAGCTAAAGATCAGGAAAGGGCAGGTTATCCAGATTGTAGAGGGGGGGAGAAGTCAAAATCCTTTACCCAGTCAGACAGAACTACTCTACATCTATATATCTCGGTTGACAAACAGGTCCAGAACCAGAGCGGAAATGTACAGAATAGTAATGTGCTAAATACAGGAGCAATCTCTCAGCCCCAGAAATAATGCCAGAAGCTTAAATTGTTTCTACACAATGCCAGAAGCCTAGTAAATAAATTTGACTCATTATGTGCATGTGCCGAGGCTGAAAATCCCGACATCATTGGCATCGGTGAAACATGGGGCCAAGAGGACATAATAGAAGGAGAATTCTATCTCTCAGAATACCACCTACCATTCAAAAAGGACAGAACAATAAGAGCAGGTGGGGTGATACTGTATATAAAGGAGGACCTGGATGCAACCAACAATGAGGAACTGAACAACATGGGTTCTTCAGAGTCAAGAACAGACTCAGTCATACTAACTCACGATGGTAGTAAAATGACTGGGAGTACTCTACTGGGCTGACACAGCAGCGGCAGAGGAAATTGTGGATCTGCATAATGTGATTAATCGGCATCTGAAACCTAAACCCTAATAATGGGGGATTTTAACTACAAGACCATAGATTGGATCAACCTGACATCACATGCAGAATGTGAACAATTTCTCAACTTTGTGCAGGACTCCTTTCTCATACAACATGTAGTAGAGCTCACACGTGGTAACAGTATACTAGATCTTGTGCCAACTACAGAAGGGGGCATGGTTGATCAAATTCATGTGGGGGAAAAGCTAACCCTCTTGTGTGACCACCATATTTTAAGATGGACTATGAATATAGAAACCCACATAGAGGTCAAAGGTGATGAATTTCTAGATTACGAGCGAGGTTCCTTTCTCACTTCCAGCCTAATGTTTGTTTTATCCTGGTTGCTGCAATGTTTGGCTTCCTTTATTGCTGCTTGCCATTTGTGCATAGGGAGTTGCATAGCTCTAATTGGCTTCAAGGGTTGAGCTCTGGCTCTTTAGCCCCGCCTCTCAACTGTCAATCAACTGATGTACAGATTCCTGAGCCTACTGGGCTCTATCATATCTACATTTGAAACTGTGTATGGAGTCAGCCTCCACCACATCACTGCCTAATGCATTCCATCTGTTAACTACTCTGACACTGAAAAAGTTCTTTCTAACGTCCCTGTGGCTCATTTGGGTACTCAGTTTCCACCTGTGTCCCCTTGTTCGCGTACCACTTGTGTTAAACAGTTTATCTTTATCTACCCTGTCAATTCCTCTGAGAATTTTGTAGGTAGTGATCATGTCTCCCCTTACTCTTCTGTCTTCTAGTGTCGTGAGGTGCATTTCTCGCAGCCTTTCTTCGTAACTCATGCCTCTTAGTTCTGGGACTAGCCTAGTGGCATATCTCTGAACTTTTTCAAGCTTCGCCTTGTGCTTGACAAGGTACGGGCTCCATGCTGGGGCCGCATACTCCAGGATTGGTCTTACATATGTGGTATACAAGGTTCTGAATGATTCCTTACACAGGTTCCTGAAGGCAGTTCTGATGTTAGCCAGCCTCACATAGGCTGCAGATGTTATTCTTTTGATGTGGGCTTCAGGAGACAGGGTTGGTGTGATATCAACCCCTAGATCCTTCTCTCTGTCCATTTCATGAAGGACTTCATCTCCCATTCTGTATCCTGTGTCTGGCCTCCTGTTTCCACTGCCTAGTTTCATTACCTTACATTTACTTGGGTTCAACTTTAGTAGCCATTTGTTGGACCATTCATGCAGTCTTTCTAGGTCATCTTGTAGTCTCATGCTGTCTTCCTCTGTCTTAATCCTCCTCATAATTTTTGCATCATCAGCAAACAATGAGAGGAATGATTCTATACCATCTGGAAGATCATTTACATATATAAGAAACAGTATGGATCCAAGTACTGAACCCTGCAGGATCCCACTGGTGACGTCTCGCCAATTTGAGACCTCACCCCACACAGTGACTCTCTGCCTTCTGTTACTCAGGTACTCCCTTATCCAATGGAGTACCTCCCCTTTCACTCCTGCCTGCATCTCCAGCTTTTGCACTAGTCTATGGTGTAGCACTGTGTCAAAGGCTTTCTGGTAATCCAAAAATATGCAGTCTGCCCATCCCTCTCTCTTGTCTGATTCTTGTTGCCTGATCGTAGAATTTGATTAATCCTGTGAGGCATGACTTGCCATCCCTGAAACCATGTTGGTGTTGTGACACAAAGTTCCTTCGCTCCAGATGTTCGACTAGCACAATTTTCTCCATTAGTTTGCATGGTATGCAAGTTAGGTAAACTGGCCTGTAGTTCAGTGCCTCCTGTCTTTCCCCCTTCTTGTATATCGGGACTATGTTTGCCGCCTTCCAAATTTCTGGCAGTTCGCCTGTTACCAGTGAGTTGTTATACACCATGGAGAGTGGCAGGCACAGTGCTTCTGCTCCTTCCTTTAGAATCCATGGCGATATTTCATCCGGGTCTATAGCCTTTGTCACATCCAACTCTAGCAAAAGCTTCCTTACATCTCCACTGGTAATCTCAAATTCCTCTAGTGGTGCCTGGTCAATTATTCCTTCTCTTATCTCTGGAACTTCTCCTTACTCTAATGTGAAGACTTCCTGAAATTTCATATTGAGTTCCTCGCACACTTCTTTGTCGTTTGTAGTGAATCTGTCTGCCCCTATCCTCAGTTTCATTACCTGTTCCTTCACTCTTGTCTTTCTCCTGATGTGGCTGTGCAGCAATTTGGGTTGGGTCTTAGCCTTGCTTGCCATGTCGTTTTCATATTGCCCTTCTGCCTCTCTTCTCACCCTGACGTATTCATTCCTGGCTCTCTGGTAACCTTCTCTGCTCTCAAGTGTCCTGTTATTTCTATACTTTCTCCATGCTCTTTTACTTTGTTGCTTAGCTAGCTTACATCTCTGATTAAACCATGGGTTTCTCATCTGCATTTCATTTTTTACCTTTTGGGGCGGGATAAACTTTTCTGCTGGCTCCTTGCACTTCTGCGTGATGTATTCCATCATGTCTTGGGCCGTCTTTCACCTTAGCTCTGATTCCCATGTTATATTCGTTAGGAATTTTCTTATCTCCTCGTAATTTCCCTTACAGAATGCTAGCCTTTTGCTTTCAGTTCCATTTCTCGAGTACTTTAGCCCTTCTTCGACCAGATACTCAAACGTCAGTACACTGATCGCTCATTCCTACTGGGGCCTCGAAATCAATTTCCCTTATGTCGGAGTCATTCAGAGTGAAGACTAGGTCGAGTCTCGCTGATTTATCGTTTCCCCTTATCCTAGTGGGTTCCCTGACATGTTGGCTTAGAAAGTTTCTTGTCGCCACTTCCACTAGTTTGGCTCTCCATGTAACCTCTCCTTCGTGCGGTTCCTTGTTCTCTCAGTCTATCCTTCCGTGATTGATGTCCCCCATGATGAGCAGATGGGATTGATTTTTACAGGCAGCAGAGGCTGCCCTCTCAATTATGTTATTAACTGCCATGTTGTTTCTGTCATACTCTTGCCTGGTCTTCTGTCATTTGGTGGAGGGTTATATATCACTGCTACTACTACTATAGATCCTCCCATGGTCATGGTGCCTGTTATGTAGTCTCTATTTATTTATTTATTTATTTTATTTATTTATTTATATACAAGAAGGTACATTGTGTTTGTGAAAATACATAGCATAGTACAGTACAGTAGTTACAATCTTGTAAAGCCACTAGTACGTGCAGCGTTTCAGGCAGGTCCTTAATCTAACAGATAATTTTAAGTAGGTAAATTCTAGCAGAAGTAATAAAATGATAAATACATTGCAAGAAAAAAAATGAGATGAGAGAGATTAGTAAGTATATTAAAGCACATTGGTATATTAAAGCTCTGATTGACTACATTGACAGCTTGATTGGTAATTTAATCAAGATTAATAGACACCATACAGCAGATTGACAGCACATATAAGAAGACAGCAATGACCACAATGGTAAAGATGTTCGGATTGGGTACATAAAGATTGGGAGATTGGGTA